CATTTATTAATACATTTATTAATGCACTTATTAATACATTTATTAATACATTTATTAATGCACTTATTAATACATCTATTAATACATTTATTAATGCATTTATTAATACATCTATTAATACATTTATTAATACATTTATTATTACATTTATTAATGCACTTATTAATACATTTATTAATACATTTATTAATGCACTTATTAATACATTTATTAATGCACTTATTAATACATCTATTAATACATTTATTAATGCATTTATTAATACATCTATTAATACATTTATTAATACATTTATTATTACATTTATTAATACATTTAATAATACAATTATTAATACATTTATTAATATATTTATTAATTAAATTATTAATACATTAATTAATGCATTTAATAATACATTTATTAATGCATTTCTTAATACAGTTACTAATAAATGTCTTAACATTTATTAATAAATGTAATACATTTATTAATGCACTTATTAATACATTTATTAATGTATTTATTAATACATCTAATACATTTCTTAATAGCATGTATTAATAAATGTAATAATGCATTTATTAATAAATTTAATAATACATTTATTAATACATCTATTAATACATTTCTTAATAAATTTCTTAATACCATTCATTAATTCAATTATTAATACATTTAATAATGTAAATGCTAGATCAGCACTCATTCTATTGGTGTCCTGATTTTTATTTGATCTTTAATTCTTCCATGTTTTGTTGCAGTCTGTTCACGTCGGGTGTTGTGCTGTTTTAGCCACAAACTGTTCGGCTCATTCAGGTGACGTTTGGGTTTTTATAACTTTTACAGTTTTCTAAAGATTTAACTTTATTTACAAATACTTTCCCAAAAGAAACACAATGAAATCTCTTTGGGTTATTTATACATTTATTTTGTTGTAAACACTCTACTGCTTCTAATTTTTAACCATCGTTTAGCCTTTATCTATACTTTGGTACTTGAAGCTTTAGCTACTAACTTTTTGCTTTTAGATAGACTTTTAGCTCATTGTACCCTTCAGATAGTTTTTTGCTACGTTTAGTTAGTTTTTAGCTGGTTTTAACTACAGTTGCGTTATTTTAGTTAATCTTTTGCTGCTTTTAACTTTTAGCTACTACTCTGCAAGCTTCGGCTTTTAGCTATCATTCTACTACTTTTAGCTTTCGGCTTCTGTTTGGTTATATTTTACTTCCTTGAACTTATAGCTATCGTTTTGCTGTTTGGGGGCTTTTGTTGGCTTCCTGCTTGTTTTAGCTACCATTCACAGCCTTTTTTACTTTTAGCTACTGTTCTGCTGCCTGTCCACCTTGTTTTATTTACCTGTCAATAATAATTCAGTATACGTCATTGATCCCTAAGGGGAAATTTCATTTCAGTGCATCCTGCCAAGACAACACACATACACTAAGCGCCTTTTGTTGTGATGTGGCTCTTTAGTGTTTTATTTTCACAAATGATTCCTTGTAACTTCAGCAGAAATGGAGAGTTTGATGTTCGGAATAAGACGTTTGTCTTCACGGGACACAGGAAGAAGGTTTTCTGTTTTTTCCTGTCGTGGCTCCGTGGAGATGGTTCAGACGAGGGAATGCACGGACGTTTGGAGCGAGGCTTGTGTTTTCAACTGTGAACTGTCTGCAGAGGCAACAGTTACATCACTGCTGGACAGGAGCCAGCCCTGGATGCTGGGAAACGTCCCACCCCCACACCCATCCTCACCTCTTCCACGCCTCTGGGCTCTACGTGGAAATGTCACGTCTGAAGACACTTCCTGCTAAAAACTGTTCCTGTTCAGCTGCTCCCAGAAACAAGACGAGCAGAGAAATGGGATGCACAAAGGGACAATGTATAAAGCATCAGTTCATTGTGGGCTCCCGAGCCACACACCAGCACCGACCTACATCCAGGGAACACTGGCCTGTTGTTGAGCGGCTCCCCGAGGCCTCATTACAAACGTTCATGAGCAACAAGCAGACAATTAACAGTTTATATAATGGTACTGATGAGACGTGCCGGCTCGGTCTGCCCCCGTTACCATCTGAAGTCAGGACTTTTTCATCCAAGCTTGCTAATCACGTTGGAGAGGGTCACAGCTTGGGATGGTTTGAAATTATTATTATTATTCTAAAGGTTTCTATTTAAAAAACACATGTAGCTTTGACACAATCAGACCCAAATACAGACGCCTCCAACAAAGACATGTCCTCACGCTTCGTCCATTATTCAGTGCAGTTTAAGATGTGGTGTTTGATAAACTCTGCCCTGACCTGGACCTGCACTTCCTGAAACTCAGCTCTGGAAATTACCTTTGAAATCAGACGCCTCCTCTCTGAAGATATCAGAAAATATTCTGAGCAAACGAGTTTCACCAGACTTTCTGTCAGAGCACAAGTTTCCTGTGTACTGAAGCAACTTTTAGTAAAAAGGAAACTTTCAACAATGTTAAAGAACAAAAGAATGTGTAGATCTGAGTTTTGATAGGATACTGCAGACTTTATCGCCACCTAGTGGTGTGTTGTGGCTATTTCACCATTTTGTTAGAACAATGTGAATGTGTGGAGATTTGTTCATTAATGGAGAAAAATATATGAAAAATGCAGCGTAGTTTTAGTAAATACTTTGTATTTGTGGTGCTGAAACGTATTTAATCTGAAAAAAAAAATGAAACCAGAGACAAAATGTAAATGTTCTAAAATAATTAAAAAACTAAGTGAAATATTTGTGCCAAATTCTGGCTCGATTTCAAACCGATACATAGAAAATTGTCCAAAAGTTGCTGCATGTATATGTATATGTATATATACTTTGTACATGTGTATGTGTATATATATATATATATATATATATATATATATATATATATATATATATATATATATATATGTGTGTGTGTGTGTGTGTGTGTGTATATGGATATATATACTCTGAACTAGTACCATGACTCAGCAGGACTCTGGACCAGTACCATGACTCAGCAGGAGTTGGGCCCACACTGCAGGCTTGGTGGTGGTGGTGGTGGTGGGGGGGGGGGGGGTGGCGCTGCCTTCTTTGCTGCTGCTGCTTCATGTGAGCAAACTTCACAGCTGATCAGCCCCAAATGACACACAGAGCATAAGAAAGACAGAAACAGAAACATCTTATTTCATGATATTTATCGACCGAAGGGTCCTGTCATTTCAGCTCCTACTTAAACACGACCTAAAGCTGGACGGAGCAGACTTTAGGTGAGGAAGAAGCAGCTGAACATGGTGGGGTCTTCTCTGAGCAACAAATCCAGACGAGGCTTCGGCCTGGATCCGTGTTCAGCCCGACGAGCCATGCAGCGCGAGGCTGGCCGACTCATCGGACTCCTACAAGGAGAACCACGTGAACAGTAAGAACTTCACCGTCCGCTGGGCCTGAAGCCTCCAGAGCATCGTCACAAATAACTCCAGTTATATGGATTTATTAACGTTTTACATGAACTGTTGCACACGAGTGAAGTCACCGGACTGGTTTCCCCTGACAGCGCTCCAGTTTCAGACAGAACAAGATAAAGTCGAGCAGATTGTTTTTGTTGGAGCTAGCTTTGTTTTACCTTCATCAATTATGGGAATAATTTCGGCTCTTTGCAGGTTTTCTCACAGAAGACAGACAAGGTGCCAAAAGAAACATGACCCGAACTGGTTCCACCTGCAGCAACAGAAAGCACATCTGTGCGAGTAAGTGAAGTAGAGTGTGTATTTGTGGAGAGGTGGACAGAAAGGAGACGTAAAGAAACGTGGGAGGACCATCTGCACCTTCATGAGGAGGAGCGAAGGAAACAGTGACTTTGTTGTGTCAGATCAGGTCCAAACCTGGAACAGGTCATCATCAACAAAAACTTGTTTAGTTAGCCAGTGGGTGGGCGTCACAGGATCAGCCCTCAATTGGTTCAGATTCTACCTCACTGACAGATCCTTTTATGTCTCCATCAAGGATTTTAGTTCTGCAGAGGCAGAGCTTAAATGGGGGGTTCCGCAGGGGTCCATCCTGGGTCCCCTCCT